CAGCACAGTTCATAATGCCTAAATCCTAGAATGACAATTGGGTAAAAACATTATGGTATCTGCGTAACAGAATACTACTTGGCTGTAAAGAAGGACAAATGTGAGACATTAGTGGGAAAATGAATGGATACACTTAGAAAATAGAATGTTGAGTGATTTATTTTAATGTCATGTATCTCTCATTTGAGTAAGGCAAAGTACAAACTAAGGGACAAATACAGGAAGGAGAGAGGAGGCGGGTGTGTGTGGATTCCGTATAGATGAGCAAGGGCCCAGGGCACCAGGAGAGGGCTGAGGAGGAGGGCTGGGGAAGCAGAGTGCACATGCTCCAGGTACAAGGTCCTGATACCCTCAGTGGACATGAGCAGTGTGCCATAAACACGGACTAAGATTCATAATGGCAGGGATGAAAATGGAGCGGGGGAATTCGAGGAAGCTGGAGGGAGGAGAAGCAAGGAGATTAAAAAAAGAGATAAACTATCATGTATATATACCACTCCCCCACCATGGTTGTAAAATGCGTGTACTGCAAGCTTGTACTAATAAAATGTTTAAAATAAAGTTATTAATGCTCCAATTGATATTTCTATGCTTAACATTGTACAACTTGTAGTGTGCTAATAGATGATTTAGATGCAAGGACTTGTACCAATAAAATATGTTCCACAGTTGTAGATGCTGCTAAAATGCCAATTGAAATTTTTGAAAAACAAAGTAATAAACATGATGGAAAGCAGAAAACAGGTGAATATCTATAGTCTTTCTAGAGGAAAACTTTGGATGTGGAAAAATTAGACATTTGGGGTAATAACTGCACTGTGGTGCTCACACATCAAGAGTGCTGAGTGACACCTCAAAGAAACTCCTATCTTAGAGCCTTGCTGCTGGGATAGCCTGAGACAGGGTAAAAACAAAGAATTACAAATTTAGTAGTCTCTTGTCCGGGCTAGGGAGATAGCTCAGAGGCATAAGCACCTACTTGGCAAGCCCAGGGTCCTGAGTTTGAGTTCAGTCCCCAACCCTGAATGCTTTCTTGGCCCTGGATTCCCGGGCAGGTCGTGCCACCCCAGAACTAGGTGTAGTGGTGCATGCCTGTAATCCCAGCACTGGGGGGTTGAGACAGGATCCCTGTGAATTTGAGACCAGCCAGGGAGCTACAAAAGTGAGCACAAGGCCAGCCCAAACTGTGGAGCGAGACCCTGTCTCAAAAAAAAAAAAAAAAAAAAGTCTCTTGTCATAAGATATACATGAGAAATGATTTTAATGAATTCATCCTGTTTAGATTCATTCCTTGAAACACTCGTTCTATGGAGATATGCAAATGTTTTCATAAGCAATCCCATTGATCCATAAATTTGGAAGTCTGACATGTTAGTATTTGTCCCCCACTTGGAGAATTTCACTAATTAGAATTTCTAAGAAGCTCAGTGATAAAGAAAACCGATGTTCTAAAACTGTATGTTCTCTTTGCAGAAGTATAACAGCATACTCGCTAGACAGTGTAATAGAGGAAAAACCCTAGTCACAAAAGCAGCAGAAGGTGTACTGTACTCTGGAGTAAGCTCTGCAAGGTGAAGAGTGAACTCACACACACACACACACACACACACACACACACACTCACACCTTAGGAAGTAGAAAGTGACTGAGGTAGAGAAACTGATAAACTGTTCTTAGCTGAGAATGAAGGAAGCTCAGTAGTGCCCTCTCCTGACCTGTAACTTTACTGCTGTGCAGTCTATATATCTAAATTTTTTTTTTTTTTGTTGATACTTTGATTTTGAAATTATGCAGGGCAGCAGCACATATGTGCTAGAGTAGGTGGGAAAACTCTGGCAGATTAACTCAAAGGGATGTGTACTGGATAATAAAATATACTACAAAAACTGTATTTCGATTTGTTCTAATGGTGTTTGTAAATAGGAATCTCAAGTCTGCATCTTGCACAGCAATTAACCACTAAGAATATATGCAGTGTTATTTGTTGAAACTGTACTTCCGATTTGATTTGAAACTGTCTCATTGCTGTTTATCAATAAAATTTTGAAAAAAAAAAACTATTTCGAAAGCAACATATTTAGGCCAGAATAGTTAATTAAATCTGTAAAAAGAATGGAGGAGTGTTGGCCAGATGTAGATCCACATTAGCTTGTGTTGTGTATGGGATAGAAACAGCGTTTCATGTCAATAGGGGAAGTGTTCCTTTCAGTAAATGATATTAGGCCAGTAGAGAAGCATTTTTTAAAAATAAGTATTTTTTAAAATTGTAAAAGCATTTATAATCTTGGGATATAGACTCTTTCTTGGCATGCTACCAAAAAAAAAAAAAAAAAAAAAGAGGGCCTAATTTGGTTACCTAAAAGCCATCGAGCAGTATACATAAATGCGACAGTTGCTGCTTACGTGACAAAGGGTGAGTTTCTTATTGAGTCTTCACAGATTACTTGGGGAAAAAAAAAGAGAGAGAGAGACTGAACCCCTTGTAGAAAAATGAGGACAGAATTCTTTTTGTGAAATTCTTATTTCACCAAATAAGGAATAAAGAACAGATTCTCATTAAACTCACCCAGATATGCTTCAAGTGGATGTAGAGCTAGGGTGCTGCGGCCGGGCTTGGCTCTAGGGCCTTCTCTCAGTCCTTTGTAAAAAGGAAATGAAAAAAGCGGACCATAGGACTACAGTGAAGTTTAAGTGAAATAATTGATGTAGGGTGCTTTGCGCAGTACTTAACACTCCCTACAGAGGGACCTGTCACTGCTAAAGAAGGGCAGAGGAACAGCAAAGAGCCCGTCAGCCAACAGATTTGAAGCAGAGAAAGAAGGGTAGTGTTGATGGCTAGGGATAAGGGTCCTGCGAGCTTGGATTGAAGTTTTCAGGAGAAGGTTTGATAAGTTGACATCAGTGTGCCTACTTTTTGATCAGCCGAAGTTCTTGGAAGTTATCCTAAAGGGAACAAACAAGAATAGAGATTTGCATGGGTTTTTGTTGTGGTTTTAAATCATAGCATGGTTTATGGGAGTGGGAAAAGGGGAAACATTTGCAGTTCATGTTGTAAAATGCACTACAAACATCAAAAGTCATGTTCTCGGAGGATATTTAAAGATAGGAAGACTTGTTTATGTTTATGTTATAATTTTATAAGAAAACCAAATATGAAAGAAAATATAATTATCTCCTAAGTTTTAAATACATAATGCAACATATGGAAAGTAAATAGGAAGGAAATACAAGAATTTTAATGGTCGTTATTATTGGTGAGATCAGTTATTTTTCAAACATTTCTATAGTAAAGGGTGGTATAATAAACATGTACTGCGGAATAAGCAAATGCATTTGGTGAATACCCACCCTTAGCTTATCAGTCCCTGCTATGTTTCCTTTATTTTACTGAGGCAGATGGAAAATACTTTCACTTAAAAAGAGGGCTGCTTGGGGACCTGCTGTTTAGAAAGGCAAAGGAAGTGAGGTGGGTAATGAAGGTGATTTGGGGCATTCCACATTGTTTAAGAAAGAATGTGAATGGCTACATTATTATTATTATTTTTGTATTTTAGGGAAGGGTCTACAGGGTGTTCGGGGTCTCACTACTAGATCGGACTTGTCGGCCCCTGTGCCTGCTTCCCGGCACTTTAATCCTCTGAGCTATTTGGCTGTCCCTAATGGCTACATTATTAACATGGCCTTTGAATTTTCAGAATTTTAGAAGAACTTTAATTCTGTTTATTCAGGATGTCTGACAGAATGATAAAAAATATAAATATATCCATTTTGGAAAGGCAGAGCCAGAAGAATGCCTCACATATCTAGTTATCCTACTTCCAGATGAAAAACAGTTTAAAATACATTGTTACAGAAAAAGATGTTACACTTGAAATTGGTTCCAGGAATGAAGCAGGGTTAAGAAGAAAGAAAACAACCTCCTTAGCCAAGAAATGCAGCTTCCAGCATGGCTTCAAAGAATTGAGCATCTGAAGGAGGTTCTACTGGTTGGAAGGGGAACTAAAAGTCTCAGGCAAGGGACCTTTGAAAAATCATCCAAGTAGAAACTGTTTTATGTTTTTAATTATTGGGGTTTGGATGGAGTTGAAGTAAGTAATTATGATGGTGACTTTCACAGGTTTGTGCTCTGTGAATGAGGGAATAAGCTCCCACATGACAAGCTGATTGTGATTGTCTATTAGATGTCATGCCTGCCTTCTGCAAGAGTGAGCTACTGGTTTCAAACACACATCTTGGTGGTGTGTGTGCTGGTGGGGGTGTGTGTGCTCAGACAACTTTTGCCATTGTTTTCAAAAGGCTGACTGAGTGATAGCAACAACCAAAACCCTGATTTTTCTTGGTGATTTTTATTACCTGTTGTAACCTGGGGTTCATTTTATTTTAGGCGAGTTGCTGAACTGTTCATGTTTGATTTTGAAATCAGTGGAATCCATTTAGATGAAGAAAAGGTAATGCTCCCTTCTTGTCTTAGCTTCTGTGAAACAGTTGGGTCATCTTAGATGTGGTGGAATTAAGATGAGGCTGGGATTAAGACAGGGAGCACAGGGTGGCATTGAGACCATATTGGTTCACTCACGTGGGACACATGGGGCGTGCTCACCCTGAGGCAGGCTGGTGCAGGTTGTGTAACGTGGGTGCTGGGGTGGAGGACCTGGCACTGCCCAGACCTCGTCGCAGTGTGGGAAGTAGCTCAAGTTCTCATCTCAGCTCCAGGGCTTGGAGAAAATGGCATGCCAAGTAACTGGTGCCTCCTGCCTGTGACCAGCTCAGGGCTGGAGAACAGGGACACTGCTGGGTCTGCTGCGCTGGGACTCCCCACCCTGGGGCCCCCCACTCTCGTCTAGACTGCTATGGTTAGGCCCTCCCCCTTTGACAAGTTAACTGTGTTTCTCTTAAGAAACACAGTTATATTTCTAATATAATTACATTGTTTATCTAGGGACAAATATTAGTTCATCAGAATACCTTGGAAAGTAGATGGTATTCTTGGTCTACTGCCAGGCCTCTGTGTCTGTGATTTCTGCATCGAGATCCAGCACACTGCCAAAGGAAAGCACTCGGAAGGACATTGCCTCTGTTGGGAGGCTGAGGCAGGAGGCTCACTGGGAGTTGAGGCCAGCGCAGGTTACAAAACTCAAAGCCAACCTGACCTGCATAGTGTAACCCTATCTGAAGAAGTAAACAACAACAGCAAAAAGTTGCATCTGTATAGAGTTTTTGCTTGTCATTAGGCCTTAAACAATACAGTATAATCACTATTTTTTTTTTTTGGCGGAATCAGGGATTGAACTCAGGCCCTTGCACTCGCCAGGGAAGCGCTTATTCCACTGAGCCCTCTCCCCGGCCCCTATACTCACTATTTACATGATATTTATGTTATTAGATGTTAAGAATAATCTGCGTTTTAATTTTATTTTAATTAGTATGTTTGTGGCACATAATGATACCTGCATTGCGAGGACTGGGTACATGTGCATACACATCGTAGTTCTTTCCATGCCCCCTTTGCCTTGTCTCTCCCCCTTCTAGGTGTTGTCAGTCATCTGGAGCTGATTTAAAGCCTGTGACAAGATACACCTGCATTCTGTGCTATCATTTTACTAAGGAAATTGAGCACCAGTGGATTTTGTGTTAGTGGGGGAAAAGGAGTCTTAGAAGCAGTCCCTGTAGGTCCCCAGGGATGACTGTGCATCATATCTTATACATAGTGTGACTTTTTTTTTTTTTTAACATGAGAAAAGATTTATTTTAGCTCACAATTTGTGGAGGTTTCAGCTCATAGTCAGCTGATACCAAGGCAGGGCAGCATGGACGAAGAGAAATAGCTCATAGTGTGACAGCAAGATTTCTTTTTTCCCTTTTCATTCCATCCAGGCTACAAGCCTGTTCCTTGGTGCCATCCACACCAGGGATGGGTCCCTCCTCACTTAAGTCCATACCCAGAACTGTGCTAAACCAACAGCTGGTGAGCTAACCCAGCATCACACCCCCATGATCCTGTCACCTCCCCAGAGCATATGAGGTTTAAGGGCAGTATCTAGATACAAGCCATAACACCCTCGCGGGGCAGAAGCTTTTTCACTTGATGTCATCCCATTTGTTGATCCTGTTATTTCCTGTGCAAGTCTCTGGTCCATTTTTCATTTATTTTTATAGAGGGTAAGAGATAAGGCTCTATTTCCCATCTTCTGCCAGTAGGTACCCAGTACAGTACCTCCAGCACCATTTATTAAAGAAGCTGACTTTTCTCCGGTGTATATTCTTGGCTCTTTTGTCCAGAATCAGATGATTGTAGTTGCAAGGGTTTCTGTGTCCTCTGTTCTGTTCCGCTTGTTTGTCTGTGTGTCTATTTTGTGTCAGTATTGTGTTATTTTTGTTGCTGTGGCTTTGTTGTGTCATTTGAGATAGGTATTGCAATGCTTTGATTTTTGCTCAGAATTACTTTTGGCTATTCTCGTTTTTGTTTTTGTATTCCCCTCTGAATTTCATAATTATTTTTTAGTTCTATGAAGGATGTCATTGTATTTTGATAGGGACTGCATTGAATCTGTAGATTATAGAAGCCATTTTGACAATATTAATTCTGTCAATACATGAACATAGACGTCTTTTACATCTTCTGGTGTTTTTAAAAATCTCCTTCTTCAGAGACAACCAGGTGGCAGAAAGTGGTAGTGACTTGCAGCTAAGAGGAAGGAAGCGCTGGGACGCCGAGAGCCAACTGTGAAAACCACGCTTGGTTAGGCTTGCCTTTCTGAGCCAGTCTGCAATACCAGATTGTTTCCGAAGATGGCTGTCATTAGTTCCCAAAAACATACTTTTTGAAGGAGATCTGGAAGTCCTTTCTGGGGAACGTCTTTTGTTGTACTCTTGTGGATTCATTAGTGTCTGTGCTTCAGGACTGAACTTCGGGGTTTAAGTCTTTCAGTCTGGTGCTGAGGAAATAGCTCAGTGGCATAAGCACCTGCCTGGCAAGTGCGAGGTCCCCAGTTCACTCCCTGGTACTGCGGGGTATTCGACTGTGAGCGAGAAGGGAGAGGACAAGGAACACCTTTCTCTTTGGTTTACATTCCCTGCCTCAGGAGGTTGACTCTGAAACATGAGACTGTTGGAAACTAAATCACACTGAGCCAAGGGCTACCAGATCCACCAGCCCCAAGGTCACAGAGCCAAGCGCCACCACATCCACCATCCCGGAGGTCACTTGCTTTCTGGCCCCAGAACCACCAGGAAGCCACCGGCCAGATTCCTCTGAAACATGGTGTCATTTTGATTGGTGCTGGGTTGGAAAATGGTGAATCTGCTAACAGTTCTGATGTTTGTGTGAGGCATTAAGGTCAGCAGTTGGCTCCTGCTGTGACCCTGAGCCAGGACCTGCTTTCCTGCCAGACCACAAACTGATGGGCTCCCCTGTAAACTCACGTTACCTGCAAGAAACAACCGCGGCCTTCTCCAGACCAGTTCTTTATTAGCAGTCTGGTGTTCTCGTGATGTATACGCTGTTCCAGGCCACCCAAAAGAAATTTTCAGCGCCAAGTACGCTGGTGCCCACATGTAAGATAGCGCTTGGGAGGCAGAGGCAGGAGGTTTTTCAGAAGTTTGAGGCCAGCCTGGGCTACAAAGTGAGTTTAAGGCCAGTCTGAGGTGCTCAGGGAGACCTTATCTCAAAGAGAGAGAAACTTTTGGAATCTGTTCGCGTTTTTCTCTTACCAGGACTCTCGTACCTTACCGACCCAGTCCTTGGATTGTTCTTTCTGAGAACAGTTCACCTTGACCAGAGGGTTTGGCTGTCCTGACCTCACTGTGATGCACATACCTGGGCATTTGCTGTAGCAAAGCACACGTCTCTTGTCACATCTTTGTGACAGCGTGGAGGCTGGTACTGTTTCCTGTGACAGGTGAACCCTGGTGAATGTAGCAGAGGTGGGATGACTGAGCCAGAGCCCTGTGGGCTTGCTGCTGCTCAGGCGCTCCAGTCTGAACACGGGATTTATTTTTTAAAGCATCGATGGCCTTGTTAATCTCCTGGCCAGAAGCTTCCGGTCACTCCTTTGTCTAGTGACAATAGGTGACACAGAGCTTACTGCACCTTCCCCTGCCTCTGCCTGTTTGCCAGGTCTGCCTGGTAGAAATCTGCACAAGACTTCATCCTCAGGCCTTATGGTCTGTGAAGCTTTTGTCAGTTCAGCTGGAGGAATTTCATTTTTACCCAAACTCACCTTTTACTTTTTTTCCCCTCCGGCATTTAAGTTTAACTGCCTTTATTTGGAAAGTGTTACTGTTGCTATAATTGCATAATGTAAATGCTCTTCCCTGCAAAAGCTCCCCAGGGATCCCTTGATTAAAGATACAAGAAAAATAAATCTTAGTTCTTCCTAATTCTCTTGTCCTCAAAGACGCCCCCTTGGCACAGGTGCATAGCACAAAGCCCTTTGTACTCCCCAGGTTTTGTTTTGTTTTTCTTTTTTAGACAGGTCTTGCCTGTTTCTGATTAGTTATTCAGCCTGGCTTGGAGCTCCTGGGCTAAGCCAACCCTACTGCCTCAGTCTCCTGGACAGCTAGATTATAGGTGTACACCTTTGTACCTGACCCTTTTATTTTCATTTTTAAGATCTCCTGAATATAATTTAAAAGTTTAAAGTGATTAGAAATGTGTTTTAGTAATTATTTCATGGTTTTATCCAGGTGTAGTGGTGTACCCCTGTAATCTCAGTACTCAGAAGACTGAGGCAGGATTGCCTTGAGTTCGACCAAACTGGGCTACGTAGTGAGTTTAAAGCCAGCCTACATAGGAAGACCCTGTCTCCAAGAAAAAAAAGAAAAAAAAGTTTCCTAGGATTTCCACTGTTTAACATACTGCCTATTAAACTGTCATCTTACCATGGTACGTGATATACCTAGCAGATCACTGAAGTTAGGAAGTGAACTCAGTTTGTATTTTTCCGGGGATTATAAGGTGATAAAATGTTTAGAATAATTAAACCTAGACATTTAAGGTTTTTAAATAAAAGCATAGAGGAAAAATTTAAAATTATGTAATTTTAACTTGTTATTCCACTGATTGCCACTAGATGGTGATGCATAGCCAAATCAGAGACAGCAAAGAGAAATCCGGGCCCAAGAGACTTTGGAGTCTTGGGAAACTTTATTTTCCCATGAAGCTGGAATTTTCTGCATTAAAATCTTGGGGTTAGTTTTGTATACTAAAGTGTTCCAGCTTCTTCTGGAGCGTAAATATATATCTTTTATCTTTTAAAGAACTCGAGCTAAAGACATAACATGCCTGAAGCTGCCATGGGCCTGTATTAGCCCCCCTCTCAGAAGGCTGCACGTGATCGGCTGCAGCCCTCACGAGCTTGGGCTGGAAGTCTGTTTTGTTTTCTAGTGATCAGTAGCTGAAAAGCCTCTGGTAGGCCAACCAGTTATGTGGGCGATGGCATACGTTTCATAGTGAAATGTGTGCGGTGACTCCTTTGAGGACCCCCGTTTTCTCAGGAGGTTGTGTGGTGACTGCAGTGGAGCAGGATCTCAGGTTTGACTTAGCGAGGTGTCTCAAGATCTCAAAAAGGATCAAAGGGCTGAGGATGTTGCCTGGATTCAATCCCCAGAAGGGTGAGCTGGACATGGTGGTGTCCTCCGGTTATCCCAGCACTCTGGGAAGCTGAGGCAGGGGGATCTCAAGTGCAAGCCCATCCCATACAGATGAGTGATTTTCCAAGACACTCTCAAGAAAGGAAAAAAAGTCTTCAGTTCAGGAATGTAGCTCAGTGTGGGCAGCCTCGGTGGGTGTTTACTACTTCCATGCAGGATGAATTACTTGTTTGCTTTTTCCTCAGCCCTTTACTCTTTTGAGAGTCAGTGTTTTCTAGTCTGCCTTTCAAATACTTAATCTTGATTTGCCGCAGAACACTTTGTGAGCTCCAGAGCTTGAACAGATCTAATGAGCTCGCTAGTGGTTTTTTCTCCCATCATATTTTATTGGTGCATTTTAGATACACAGGGATCACATTCGTCATACAGAATTTGTACCTGTACATGATAGAACTTGTTTCTTTTCCTTTTTCTCATTCACCCACCCTCCTTTCAACCCTTCCTCCCCTCCCTATTTACAGAAGCTTTGGAACTATTTTTTCCTTTTTTTCTCACTTTTTTACTTTTCCCTCTTCCTTCCCCACTCCCATCCATAGTTCCCTTTCCCATTTGCACATTTTCTTCCTATTTCACGATAGCATGCGTTTTGATCCTTATATATACTTGGTTTTTCGTGCTGAGAAACAATGTCGTATTTACACATGTGTATCTGGTTTATTTTACTTCAGAGTATGGTCCCAAGGTACATCCCTTTCCCTAAAATGTCTCAAGTTTATCCTTATTTGTGGCAGAGTAGTACTCTGTTGTATATTTTAAAAAGTCACATCTTTGCCTGTTCCTCGATTGATAAGCATTTGGGCTGTTTCCAAGATTTAGCTATTATAAACTGTGCTGCTATAAAAATGGGTGAGCATATATGGCTGTGGTGTGTGCTTTTAATTCTTTCGAGATGCTACCAAGAAGGGGAATAGCTGGGTTGAATGGGACCTGTAGTCCAACTGTTTGGAGGATTCTCCACACTGTAGTTTCTGACTCATTTAATGAAGGGTTTTTTGGGGCTAGCAGAAGAAAGTTCAGTACTTTATCACATTGCTAATTCCAGAGATCTGTTACATAATGTAGACCTTCAACAGAATGCTAGAAGTTGTAGAAATATGAGCAGATACGTTATGAAATCAGGAAGATAATCTTTTTGTTGAAATAGTGCATATTAATTCTCAGCGTCAGAATGAGCTATGTATTGATAGTCAGCAGTTCACTGACCTCAGGGCTTTGTACTGGGCCGCCTGTCTAGCCCTTCCTAAAGGTATGGTCTCAGCGAATTTCTCAGGCTGGGCTTAAACTTCTGGTCTTTCTGCCTCAACTCCCAAGTGTGCCACCTTGCCCTGCTTCATTGTAATATTAATTATGAAATCTTAATTTGAAATGTGTTTAAATAACTTGTATTCTTCCCACTTGTAGCGGAAAAGAGCAGTGGACCTTAATGTTAAAATCTTGGATTTGAGTAGCCAGTTTCTTATGGGAACCAACTTTCCCATCAAGATTGAAAAGCGTCTCTTACCCGAACACATTCACCGTCACTTTGTGCGCGATGGAAATCACATAGTTGTCGATGGGCTGCACGCGGAAGCTGCGGATGACTTGGTACGTGTTTCCTCTTCCCATCTGAGCTCACTGCACATGGTGCTACCTCGGTTTTAACCCCAAATCAGTGGTAACATGATCATATGTTTTAAAATCTTTTAATAGTATTACTAAGCTCTAAAAATCTAACTTGTGTGATCATTAATTCCATAGATGTTTTAAAGAATGCAGTGGTGTAATTATTAATGTCTGACATAACAGCGATGACTGACCTTCTAAACTGCTGAGGTTTTTATTTCACTCTGTTAAAGATGTTTTATGTTATAGAGACGCCGGGTCTGAGTTCATCCCCCCAACGCTGGAAGAATCCTCTAGAGCTCTAGTCAAGGGTGCTGTGGTATCCTTCTAGATGTGACTTGAAGGCTTTATTCACCTTGTGTCTCTATTTTGAAAGTGATGATTGCCGATAATCTTGTGAGCACTAACCTATATGACTCTGTGTCATGGTGTTTATGTTTTTTTAAATACAGGTTCGAGAAGCCGCTTATAAAATTTTTCTTTACCCCAATGCTGGCCAATTAAAATGTTTAGAAGAACTGCTCAGTAACAGAGATCTTCTGGCAAAGTTGGTGGGGTATTCTACATTTTCCCACAGGGCCCTCCAAGGAACAATAGCTCAAAACCCAGGTATGCCCATTTACCTACCTGTTCAAGACAAAATAGTTTTTTCTGTTTTGTTTTTTTATGGTACTGGAGATTGACTCCAGGACCTTCACACTGATACACTGAGCTACATTCACAGTGCTTTTCATGTTTACAGATAGAATCTCTTTAAATAACTAATCCTCCTGCCTCAGCCTCCCAGAGTGCTGGGATTACAGGTGTATGTTACCATGATGAGCTTCAAAATAGGGTTTCTGATTTTTTTTTTTTTGGAGGGGGATTGTGCAGATGATTGACTCTAGAGCCTTGCTGAGGGTAGGCAGGCACTGCTGTATTCCACTGAGCCACACATCCCAGCCCTGAACTTCTGATTTAAATACTGTAAATCAGTGCTTTGTTTTTAATGCACTCAGAGAACCACTTATGGAGATCACTGACAACTTTTGATAGAAATGATCTTTAGAGCTAATAATTTGGCACATACCCTGTCTGGGCAAGGTATTTTATTTTGTTTATATATTGAAAGTAAATCACATCTAATTTTTATTTGATACAGTTTGAATTGTTTTTGTTCTAACTCACATAGTTTGTGTACACAGTCTAATCAGTTGATTAGAATCAGAATGGGAATGAAAAAACAGTATTTATACTGGGGTGGCAGTATATAGACCAGTCATGGAAAAATATATAGTCCTAGCCCAGCATGTTGTGCATGCCTGTGACGCCAGCACTGCAGGAAGCTGAGGCAGAAAGGTGGCAAGTTCCAGCCCTGGAGTGGGAACTTGTCTCAAAAAATGAGACAAGTGAGATCCTGTCTCAAAAAATAAAAAGACCTGGAGATGTAGCTCAGTATGAAGATCCAAGGTCAATCCCCACTATTACGAAACCAAAATAAACCACACAGTCATAAAAACCTCGTTTTTAAGCCTGATGTGGCAGTGCAGGCTCGTGATCCCAGCCCTTGGGAGGCTGGGGCAGGAGGATCTCGAGGGTCTTTCAGCGAGAAGAGTGCAGCATGGGTAGGTGTGTGTCGGGGGGGTATCTTCCCTTGTGGTGCAGTGAACTTACCTGTGCTACATTGAGCTCTTTATGTTTGATATTATGTAAGAGAAAATGTTACACAGTGATAATGATATAATGATATATTTATTAGCTTTTTAAAGACATCTGAAGATTATTTATAATTTAGGCAGTGAGTTGGGTTTAGGGTGGCTGAGATAGTGGAACTGTGAGGTCCAGATGTATTTTTTAGAGGCTGCGGTTACAAGATCCAGTGCCATGGAGAGTGAGGAGACTACCAGGAGTGGTCTCCGGTCCTGCGCCTGGCATCCCTGGTGGGAGGCCTGGGGGCCCGCGGGGGTGCTGCGTCTGTGTGCCCTTCTCCCTGCGCCTCACCCCTGCCTCCTCCTGTTCGCGTGCCCAGGACTCCTTCAGAGCCCGCGGATCCCACTGTGCACTCCACGCGTGGCTTTTCCCTTAGCACACAGGCCGCTTCTGCTCTGTCGCCTCGCGTCCTACTCAGGGCTTCTGAGGCCAATCCTGAAGCCCATTGGACCTCTTTCTTTGCCTCTGCCCTCTTCTTGAACCCTTAAAGTACTTAAGATTTGTTCCTTATAGTTTAGTTCCTCAGCAGTTACGTGTATGTAACTGTAAGGAAGTACGTTGAACGTCCTTTACTACTTGGTTTTTTCCCTGTGGTCACTGTTACCACCAATTGGATTATACTATATTTTTACTTTATATTATGTTACAAAATAATGTTAGAATATTGTTCATTATTTATTCTTCTGTTACTGTTTATTCTTCAACTTTTTTATTTTTATTGATCCATGTTTGCAATACATGATTTCATTGGCTGTGGAGAATTGGTACATTAACATAACACATCTCAGTTCTTTTATTTCCTTTCCCTCCATCCTGCCTTTAAATTGCCAGGATCTGATTCATTTATGTGTCTTGTAAGTCCTTATAAAGTTATGATATATATAGATTAACAGGCCAGAACATATAAAGCACATAAGACATTGTACTAAATCCAGGTATACTTTTAGTGCCTTGTTCATGCTGGATTACAATAACTTTCTTCTCTTTTTTCCTGATATCTTTCGTTTGGCACTTTGTTTCTATATTGAGTTTCCATACAGCAGAAAGCATGCAATATTTAAGCTTATGTGGCTTATGTGTCATTTAACATTATGGTCTCAAGGTGCATCTATTTTTCTATAAATAACTCAAATTCTGTTATCTCTTTGTTACTCTACAGCCTTGTGATATAGGTATTGGTAGCCATGTCATAGATATGGAATATAAAATAAGTATATATTGCTACCGTGTGGCAGAGCCGGATCCTCGGCACACACTCTAAATTCACGGTTTTCCAAAGTCTGTGCTTTCATCCTCTGTAGCCCGTATTCTCTGTCATTGGCTTAAGAAGCTTTCACTGTGTGTCTGCTGTCGTATTCTACTCACTGGAGATGATTCACAGTAGGAAGGGTCCTGCTGTAGGCACTTGGCACTTTCGGGAACGCAGTAAGACCAAAGCCTGTTGGTCAGGAGTGTGGTGTTACTCACGTGCGCTGTGGAGTTGGGAAGGGGATGGGGACTGCCAGTGAGTGGTGGCGTGGTGTTAGCCTCAGAGCGGTGTCCGGGCGGGCTCACTGAGAGCAGGACGTGTAAGCACAGTCCTGATGGAGGACCGAGTCTGCCTGCACCTCTGGGGTGGAGGCTCCAGGCAGAAGCACAAGCATGCGTGCAGGCTGGGTGGAAGAGTGCCTGCCTGTAGGTAGGCCCAGGACATACAGTGAGTGTTTAAGTTAAAAGATACAACATACTTGCTACAGTAAAAGGAGCAGTGCCCTCCATGCCTGTCACAGTCTTCTTCCTCACGTCGAGCACACTTATCCCATCGTTCTTGCCACTCTCAGAAGCAGTTCTGGAAGTCCTCTTTTGTGAGTGTCTACTTGTGTGCAGTTGTGGCTGCCTTGATGTCCTGACTCTCAGTGTCAGTTGGGGGAATAAGGTGAGCGCTGACACACAGTGATGTTTTTATTTGACAGAAATTAGTTACCAAGAGCAAGGTGTGAGCCAGAGGTTTTGACCTAAGCAGCTAGAGACAGCAGTTTCCTGTCAGCTAAGCTGGGGAGGAGTGGAGCTTAGTTTGGTTCAGGTTAAGTCTGAGATGCCAGTTGACGTCCTCATGAGGGTGCTAAGTAGGGGTTGACTGGGCTGTGCGGGAGGCGGGAGGCCAGGAGGCACCCAAAGCACCTGAGCTCTGGAGCCCACTGAGGCAGAGATCAGACTGGGATGAAAACTGCAAGGGCCGCTGAGCAGCCAGGCTCAGGCGCGGGAGGAGGCGAACAGCGCCTGTGCGCTTGCAAGCCACGCAGCAGAAATGTCAGCGTGAGGAGGAGGGAGTGAGGGCGGCCTCCGGAGGCCAGCGCAGCTGTGGGCATCCACCATGGGCTTGGGAGCTCAGCAGACCAGCACAGCTAGCGCCAGGCGCCATTATCGGCAGATCCCTGCTCACGAAGGGGAAGGGTGGTGGGGGAAGCTGGTGCTACACCACAGCTTTGTTTTCCTTTCGTAATTCTTGAAGTCACAGTAGGAAAGCAGCAGCACCTGGGGCCGTGTCTCCAGGCTTCTTAAGTTGACAGTGGCAAGAAACCCGGGGGCTTCGTGGTGTTGGTTAACCTCCGCTTTTTCCTTAGCCTTTTATTTTACTCCGAAAGGAGATAACTTAAATTGAAGAGAGGGCAAGAAACTTAAAACCATATAAAGGATCATCTGGAAACTATAAAAGCGATGTTTGTGGCAAACCTAAAATACATGAAAGCTCTGTACGGTACACATAAGTCAGTGGCAGACAGTGCGAAATGAAAACCTTGCGCGAAGCATTTCCTTTCATGGGAAGTAATGGTAATCCTGCCACGTTGCTTTTACCGGTTTATAAATTATAGTCACTATAGTTGGAGTATTTCAATGAGGAATTAAAAATTCTCTTAGAACATCACATTTCTAATGTTACGATTTCGTTCAGTTTTCTTTTAATTTGATCCTAGTAGATTATTCTGCAGTTGAATATAAAAATAAAAACGGTTACTTGGAAAGAATGATTTTTAAAATTTAGTCTTCAGTAAATCATACTTGACTGTACTGATTTTTAACCTGAATCTGGCTGTCTTTTTTAAAACTTGGAGAAAGCCAGCATGACTAAGCAATTTAATTTTTTCTTTTACACACATGAATAGGTAGAAAGAAACACAATGAAATTTTGGGTTTTGCCTTTTAGTTTCTCACTAGTGCCTTTAATTTTGGGGTATATACTAAGGCTTTGGGTTATTACTATGTGAGTTTATTTTTCTATTAAGAGATGATTGTCATCTGGAAGTGCTTGTTATGTATCCAGCGTGTTAGCAGCTCTCAGTCTTTCTGAAACCATCACTTTAAGGCAGTTGTATAGATTATGGTCCTTACATTTTTAACAGATAATTTTCATCTTACTTCACACAATTAAAGAGTTTTTGAATTTCGTTTTTAGAGACTGTCATGCAGTTCCTTGAGAAACTATCTGACAAACTTTCTGAGAGGTTAGTTTCTATTTTACTTTTTGCTGTTTTAGTTATGTATTTGTTTGTTGAAAATAACTTGATTTATGAAACATTTAGGAAGTAGCCTGTGAAATTATTAAGTTGGACTACAAGATCTGCGACAACTTGGCCATCTAGTGACACCAGCCACGAGGCACACTTGGAAGGGGCACAGGTGGATCCGCCACAGCAATCTTGATAGTTTCGATGGTTCCCGCCCATTAACCCAGTGTTTCTGACAAGCCATCCTTTGTGTGTATTTAAAAACATTTGCAAAGCCTTCTCAAAACTATTTATCTTAACTGCTGGCATCCATTTGATAACATGTTTTGTAAAGCAGCTTTTCTCTTTTAGGCCAAATACAGGAAACGCATGAATGTGGTAGATGATCTGTCTGGATTTTGTGTGTGTTCAGACCACTTCGCTTCAGCCTCCGTAACTCTCGAGGGGAGGTGTTCTCCTGGTCTGGCGGGCCCTTTGCGCATTCAGTCTCTTCTGTGGCGCCGAGTGTGTGCCTCTGCCTGTGCCTGGCCTGTCCTAGTCCTCGGCTGAGAGTGGCACTCTCAGGGCTGCAGGAAGGGGCAGGCTTGGGGCTGTCGAAGAAGGCTGGCTTGTCTCTTTCTTAAAGTGCTATTCACATTTGCCCCCTTTTTGGACTATAACACATTCACTTGTAGCTCAAATTTCCCATTTGTATTATTAATTTTTGTCTTGAAACCCATTCCTTTCTAATTGGACTTAACATTTATCACTTTTAAAATCTTTTTTGACCCCAGTGAATCACTGTGCCTTTGATATAGTGAGGAGGGAATGCTAGTTATGTATTAAGAATTTATTCTACTCGACTTGGTTTTTTTTTTTTTTTTTAACATTTATTTAGTGTGTGTGTGTGTGTGTTTGTGTGTGAGTGTGTGGCCAGCTCAGCCCACCAGGGGGCGGGGCTGGCTGGCATGTGGTGCTGGAGGATCGAACCGCGGTCCCTGTGTTTTGCCAAGCTTGTTCCAAGTAGGTGCTTTAGACCACTGAGCCATCTCTCCAGCCCCACCAACTTGGTTTTATAAATATTAGTATTCGTTATCCACTTGTATGTAGCTGCAGATTCTATTTTCAGCAAACATATCTTCATCATTCTATAGTTTTATCTAGGAGTTAATTTTGATATATTTTACAAATATTAGTACCTAATGAATGATTGCTGAGGTAGAGATTTTCTATAGAGAAAAATTATAGATATGTTGATCTGTGTTAATATTCTCTTATAAAGAGTAATTTTTTTTTCATTTTTAAAATACAGCAAAAAAAATAGCCATGTAAAGTTTGCTGATTAATGCTTTGCATGTTTCTGTAACATTGCTAGTTTTTTCAAGCTGTAGTGCTTTTAAAACATATTTGCCTCGGGACAGGGAAATGGCTCAGTGGAATAAGCACTTCCCTGGCAAGTGCAGGGGCCTGAGTTCAATCCCCGGTTCCACCAAAAAAAAAAAAAGAAGACACATTTGCCCATGCTTTTTTTTTTTGTATTGGGGATTGAACTTGGGACCTTGCACTTGTGAGGTAGGTCCTTATGCCACTGAGCTATCTCCCTGGCCCTGCCTGATGCCTTTTAAGGTGAAGTTTCAGGAAGGTGCTAATTAGTATGTTGTCTCTTCTGACACTTAAGGAAGATTTGGATTAATACTAGTTTACCTTTGCACTAGGAATGACATCTAATTTTATCATGAATGGAAGTAAAAGTGGTCAGCTAATTCTTTATTAATGTAATTATTAAAGTTTTGTTCTAACTAGTAATGATAAACCTCTCTTACAGAACTGTAAAAGATTTTGAGATGATGCAAGGGATGAAGATGAAGCTAAATCCTCAAAATTCTGTAAGTAACTGTGTTGGACAATTTTTTTTTTTTTTTTTTTTTTTTTTTTTAAGACCAACAGAAAGCATTATCTCCATTCTGGAACTTTTGTTTGCCACACTGGCCATCTGTGTAGTCTTCTTTCTGAGACTTGGCCTTGGGGAATAAAGGTATTAAAGTATTTGATCTGTAGGTCCAAGTCTGAGATTGCTTGGAAATCAAGTATTTTTGTTGAATAGTCAGTGTGTTCTATGTTTGTTACTGCACATACAGTATATCAATGTGTATTAATACAGTGTATGTGCATGTAGTACAGGCAGAGCCCTCTTCCATGTTGGCTTCCCAGGGTGAGGTAGCCTTTAATGAGCCGGGAGGCTTGATGCAGCGGGTGGCAGTTTTAGCCTTCACTGTTGTTGTTTATGTGCTCATATGTTTGTTTGCTCCAAGAAGTAGATTAACATGGACTGGCAGAGTGTACCCCATTCCAACCAATACTTGTACATTGTTTTTAATCCTAAAGTCATTTGTATGGTTATATCACTTCACACTATAGAATGCTGCCCGTGATTGGGGTGCTCACAAAGTGATAGATTGCTAGATATTAGAACCATATTCCCATTGGTTTAAAGGTACCGCAAGATTTCTGGGCAGATGTCATTTTTGTTGCTGATAATTCTTGATTTGATAGCTACTAGAGCTGTAGTTTTAGAAAAATTTTAGGGAAAGAAACCTTGTGGATTTGGAGACTATTTGCCATCTTTCCAGACACATAAAATAAAAACTAGATTGCAAATTACTGTACTTGATAGAATTAGAATAGTCATTGTTAGCTTATAATAGGAGCTCTGTCTAGCAAAGTAACAAGCACCAGTCATCTGTACATTTGGACTTTGTAGGAAGAGTCAGGAGACGGGATAATAGATCAGACTTTAGTTTGGTGAAATAGGAGCAGAAAGATGTGTCACCAGAAGCTAACACAGTAAAGGCTGGAATGAGAGAACTGTCCTTCCCGCACATTTTTGTGTAGTTTATTGATGCAGATGGCTCTGCATATATTTGTGAATGCTGATCTTCTCATGAACTCTCTTCTGGGAATGGTACCAGCACTCATCTGTTGCCTCAGCCAGAATCACCACTCAGTCTCAACCAGTGGTTCTCAAAGTGGGGTGGTCCTTGGACCGGATTCAGTAGCATTGCTTGGAGTCTTGGTAGAGACACAAAGTCCCCAGCCCCACATCAGACCTGCTGGAGTGAGATCTTGGGCAGACCCCACAGCCTGAGTCCCATAAGGCCCCAGGTGTTCATACCACCATTTAGTGCCTGCAGGGTCCACCTTCCCCAGACTCTGGGGCGGGGTTGGTGACCCTCTGGCACAAGCACTTTAGTGGGCTGCTTATACCATTGAAAGCTCTAGAAGGTTCGCCATCACTGCTGTAGGTACTTGCTTTCCTGTATGCCTTTCCACAGTCTGGGTTGTGGGCATTATGATTTCTCACTCAGACTATAGTTATAGTTGCCTAATTGACCTTTTTTGTTTTTGTTTTTGTTTTTGCTCCCCTCAAAACCGTCTTGGATTCAGACTGCTTAGTGTGCCCAGCCCACTCTCCACTAGGCATAGGGTGGGTTCTCAGCACTTACTTGAACTTTGAACGAATGAATGAATTGCTGCCATCGGAGGGATTTTCTAAAAAATAAGTCTGATCTTATTATTCTGTTCTTTAAAATTCTTTGAGAAGTCTCTAATTCTCATGTTTCCTTTGCAATTTCCTTACATCTCCCCCCAGGCCCGTTTGGAGTTTGGAGTCGGCCCCTGCTTGTCGCTGCTGCCCCACCCGCGCGTCCCTCCAGGCTGAGCCAGTATTCATTGCTCTCTGCTCACACATGCGTGATACTCTCGTACCTTTTTCACTTAGCTTTGTCCTTAGCTGGTGTCCTTTGCTTTGCTTTCTTTTTAACTGACATTTCTGTGCCAGCCACAGACATAAGCCTCTCTTCCTTTTTTATCTGGATTAATGGCTTCCAGTTCTCAAAACTTAATGTAGGTTTTTGCCTCCTCCAAATATTTCCTGATTTAAATACTCTCCTGGGAGTTTAATGCTCCAGCCTTCAATATATAATACATTTTGTGTGTCATTAATGCGCTTCTCATGGGCTGTTTTACATGGAACAACATCGCAGTACCATTCTGAGTCACTCTCCACTGCCCAGACCTCTGATTCTTTACTGCAGGGACCATGTTATGTTTGTTTCATGCCATCCCAAGCCCACTTGCACGCTGTCAGCATCCAGAGAGGCTAATGGAGGAAGCGCATTTCAGGAGCTGAATCCAGGGTGCTGAGTTCCATGGACACAGGTTCTGCCTTCCAGGTGCCTATGGGGAGAAAGAAAATAATCCTGCATGTAGGGTACACTGTGAGACATCCCAGGAAAGCAGTGTGATCACGTGACATGGGAAAGAACTGCTCATAATTTTAGGAGATGATGCTGAGCTGAAGACTTAAAGGGTAATAGAAAAGAAGAGCCACCAGCAGGTAGTTACTGATAGCATATTTAATGCCAGGAGTTCTACTCACTAGGTTAAGTATATTTAGCAGTCTTATTCTGAGGACTGTTGATTCAGCCAATAAGTATTTATTATACGATGACAGTGAGCACTGATCAGGGTGCCAGGATGTAAGAGGGATGATGCCAAGGCCCGGCCCTCTTACGGCGTACAGTCTGGTAAGGACTGAAGACTTGAACCCAAGCATCTCGACTCCACAGCCTGGCTTCTTGGTTATTTATTTATTTTTTTTGGCAGAATTGGGGATTGAACTCAGGCCCTTGAGCTTGCCAGGCAAGCGTTTATTCTACTGAGATATCTCCCCAGCCCCCTCGGTCATATTTTTTTAACTGCACATTTTGTGGGGAGGATGCTTCACTCAGGCATTCAACCTTCCTTTTAGTATTTTCTGCTAGTCATCAGAAACAACTTATTACAGTGCTTATCTAAGATGTATTTTCTTTGCCAAGATTAGAGTTAATTCTGCCTTAGTTATATTTTAAATTGTTGCTTTCATTTTGAAAATACATCCTAAGCTTCTTGCTTAATTTAAAAAGAATCCTAATCTTAACTTTAATCATACCTATATTTTGTGCATTAATACATGGATTTCATTTTGGGAAAAACGTCATTTTGAGTGACTACATCCTTTAATGTTGGCTTCTGTTAATTTTCATTTACAACAACATTTACATGTTCTTCATAGCTAGAGTTACGCCTTGTTTATATATCTCTCTCTACCCATTGACTACAAAGAATCTGCTGGACCATGAGTTTTCAAGAGTGTTATAAAATTTCTCTAGCTTCCATTAACAACTGGTTTGCATCTTCTAGGCAGCTGTTACACAGTGGTAATGTTAGGTCAGCTTTTATAAGCTGGCTGAGTTACTGATAAAATCATGAAATAATCAGTAGCTTTCATGACAGTGAATTATTCCATTTTAGGAACTGATGCCTTGGGATCCCCCCTACTACAGTGGTGTGATTCGTGCAGAGAGGTAAGTTTTTCAAGAAATCCCTATGTGAGAAAGAAGAAGGAAAATAATATATATTGGGTACTTTGCACTGTAATTGTCCAGCTACTGTCGTTTAGGTGAGTGCCCATATTGCAAACTCACTTCCCCTCAGATCTGTTCCTCTGCTGGCACTGTGAGGTCCTGCTCACCGTCTTTCCCTCTTGGTTGAGAAGTTGCGTGCTGCCTGCTGATGCCGCGCTCCCCTCCCCACAGGCTCTCCCTATACTGCCTGTGCATTTCTGTGTTTGCAGCCTTGACCACATCCTGGCAGTGTCCAGAGCCAGCCCCTCTCGTGCTCTCCCCTGGTCCTCACCGCATTAGTGCTGGGGTTCACTGGAAGCCTTGTTGTGTCCCCCTGCTGGCCTCGGTGGTGTCCAGTGCACTTGTTGAGGCAGTGAAGGGAAGAGAGGGCTTGCAGTGGTGCTGTTGTGTTCTGTTGGTTTTCTTTCTTTTATTTGAACATATTGTCAACACATTAGCATGTCTAGAAAGATATAAATGAAATAAAAAATTAAGAAAAAAAATTTAAATTTATGTATTTGGTACAGGATCTCACTTTGCAGCTCAGACTTTAGTGATCCTCCTGTTTTCAGCCTCCCCGTGCTGGGATCACAGGTGTGTGCTACCATGCTGGGACTCGGTTGCCAGCTCCGCATGCCTGGGGACGGGGCCAGCGTGGCGTGTAGTGCAGAGGATTGAACCCTGGTCCCTGCGCTTGCCTAAGTAGGCACTTAGTCCACTGAGCTACCTTGCCAGCCCTAAGAAAGAAATTGATTGATGTACTCCTTTAGCTTCTGTATTCTCCTGCATTTATTAAAGCTTTAGTAGGTTTTTTCCTCCCCAAACATACCCTATTTCTATTATTTTTGTATTTACTTGCAAATCCAAGAAGAGTCCTATTCAAAGTTTATATCCCGAGCGAAGACAAAGATGGCGGCCGCACCGGGGTCTGCGGCCGCGGCGGCTGCGGGGCTACGTGCGGGCGGGGCCCACTGAGGCTGCAAGCCGGCTGCGGGGTCGCGGCGGTGGCCGGAGACCTGCGGGGCGCG